TTGTTGGCGACGATAAAACAAAGTTTACTATTTCCATATGGGTACAGTGGAACTTCGATTATCCGGGCTAAGTGGAGCGACATAAATGTTCGGATAGTAAAACACTTAGTTACTGTGCTAGTTTTCAACTTTATCGACTAGTACTTGTATTCGAGCAATAAAGAATTCTGGTATTAAAGACTGGACAATCGGGGTTTTACCGCGTAGACGTTATCGATACCAGAAAAACAATAACTGTATCGAATACAACGTGACAACTGGACGTCCAGATTTCACTTGATTTACTGTTAAAAAATCGACCGCTACTTTGTCATCCGCATCTGTGACACACAATAACTTATAATCAGAGATATCTCTTCATAAGAAAAGAACTCTTAATATCTCTTAGAAGATCTCTCTAAGTCTATCTAAATCTCTCTCTCTATCTCTTTAAAGATCACTTAATAAGAAGAGGTTAAATAATACTCTCAACTTAGAGAACCGTTTTTCTGTTGACGCAATATCCAAACATTAAGAATAAAGAAGAAGATAGAAAAAGTGATAATAATGATAGTAATGATAATAAAAGACATTAGATAATAATAATGACAATGATATAAATTAGATAATAGTAACAAGAGGAAGAAAGCAAAAATTAATACAAATAACAATAATGATGACGTTGATGATGATGATAATAATAATTGTTATTATTATAACCGTAACAGACGTTGAGGAATGTTAAGATAAGTAGCATGGTGATAGAAGATTATTTAATAGGTGAAAAAGAATCGTTAAAAAAGTCAGTGGTATAGCAGTAGTTTTTCGGATTAGACGTCCTTTATGAAATAACAAAATCGTGGTCGTCGCGCAACAAAAATATCATCGAAACCTGCAAATTCTCTAAACATCGTGGTACGTGTCACAATTTAACTTAATGTCATCCAAAAAATTAATTAGACATTCTTAATTGAATGAACAGACAAAGCGGTCTCGCGCGCAACGCTAACAGCCAATTTGTGAATGGTTTTAAAAGAGTGAAAATAATGCATCAGTGCCTCCATATTCTCCATGGTTGCATAGTGACCGCGGATCATAAGAAACAAGAAGTTCAAGTTGGTTTTCCAGCGAGAAGATAAGTGGCAAGAAAAACGGGAAAGTATGCAGCGAATTGTAGCATTACCGTTTAATGTTTGCGGCGGCGGCGCAATTTTCCTTGGAATCGTAACTAATTTCTTCTTGTAAGACTCGCGGCGATTCCATTCTCGAGAGCCAAGGATCGGGTGACCCGGGAATATACAGGGTGTCCCAAAATTATTGTACAAGCGAGAAAATAATGGGTTCCTGAGGTCATTCGAAGTAACTGTTTCCTCAGCGAAAATGCAATCCACGGCTTTGTTTACGAGTTATTAAGGAAAAACACTGACCAATAAGAGGCGAGCTCGGCTGGTACGCGACGGCCCAGCCAACGAGTGCATGGAGCCCAGTTCCGCTCATTGGCTCGACCGTCTCGCGCCAGTTAATCTCGCTTCTCATTGGTCACTGTTTTTCCTTAATAACTCGTAAACGAAGTCGCATATTGCATTTTCGCTAAGGAAAAAGTTACTTCAAATGATCTCAGGAACCCGTCGTACCCCGCTTGTACAATAATTTTGAGGCACCCTGTATATTGGGAAATGATATTGTTCGGTTACTTATGATCGAGTTTATCGAGTTTCGAGTAGTTTACCCGTCGTTCCTGCCTACTTCGTTTTAATCCCGCAGCCTCTTGGAAAGTTTGCCCGCGCTCGAAAGCCAGATCAACTTCGGAATATCGTATCGATCGGCCGGCGATCCGGACGAATGATAATCACCTCGACAAAACAGGCCGAAAGTTTTCTTTTCAGCGTCGCGTGCGGCACGACGAGACATTTTTTTTAAATATTGCCGGCACGTTTTCTGAGTCGGTGCGAACTCGATCACCTTGAGTACTACGTCGCTTGTTATCGAAGCTGCAGAAAAAAATGTTCAAGGAAAACGTTATTCGGGCAAACATTCCGGCGTGCAACAATTTTCGTCGTGATCGTATTTTTCGTGACTCTCGAGGCCATCGCGATGTATCCTTATTATTAAAACGTAATTGCCGTGGTCGAGACCAATTCAACGATGTACGGCATTTTGACCTTCTCGGTGCATCCAAGTACCGCTGAAAGAAAAGTGGATGACCTTAATTTGATCGAAAACCACGAGATTCAGAAAAATCTATTGTCAACGTAATATTCGGCTGTTAAATAATATTTTCATCCGACACCTTTGACTGGGCTAGAATCATAGCGTCAAAATGTTGATATTATATTATATAATATCAACATTGTATATTTTATATTTTTCAAAAATGTTTACTGTACGAATTGCATACAGTGATTCCCGTTAATATTCGGATACTTTTCAAAACGCAATAACTTTTTTAGAACTGTACTAAATGACTTCAATTTTTTTTTAGATGATTGAGCAATCAGTCTACTTAGACCATAACTGAAATGGCTTTTTTAAAATTTTGCTACTGCTTAGAATGGCAACTTTTTTTATCCGAGGCTGTAACGAAAGTTTAAAAAATGTGTTTTGTAGATCTCGGTAAGTTATATGCGTATTAAAAATTTCACCGAAATCGGTTGAGCTTGGTACGAGGTGTAAACAATTAAAGATTTTAATTTTGACACTTTCGACCAATTAGAGTGACAAATTTGCAGTATAAAAAATTAATTAACGCTTGTAACTTGACTTTGCGTTAACCGATTATCACATCATACAAATTATCACATCGTGTAAAAGCTCGGAAAATATAGAAATTGCAACAGCAGAAAGGAAAGTCGTGTTCGTCGACGACGTAAATATAACGATATTATAGATTTAACGACCTTGACCGATTGGTGTTTTTGACTGCATTTTCGGGCACAGAGTCGCCGACCGTACAACTTAATTAATGGAAACGAGGATACGGTCGTCAGCGCGGTTATCTATTCATAGAACATAAAATATTATCGAAGGCTGCGACACAAAGGATCGTTAACATTCATTGTTCCGGTGAGCACAACATACGCAACCAATTTTATGACTCGCCGAGTATTTGCGATAATTGTCTCACACCGCGGTGACACAATTGCGTCCGACAGCGTTCCCGCTATCCTTGCCGCATATTAATTAGCGCGGACGAAAGAAACTAGGAAATTTTTCTTTAACACACTCCCGCGAGCCGACAATAAGTCCCGATTGGCCGCGCTCCGCGGTCCAATTAGTCGACGCGCGCGACTATCTCTTTGAGACATTATTTATTCGTAATTAGACCATAGGAAACGGTCGAACTTCTTTTTAGTATTTTTAATTCACGCGCAAATTACTATTCAGCTCTGGTTTCTTTCAGCCGACGCAGAACGCGTTCTTACATCGCGAATTAAGATCAGATTATAATTTACATTATGTCAAGGTTAAACTATCCGAAATTTCGAAATAAAACGCGCGAACCGCTTGTTCGTTTATCAAAATTGATTTCGTCGCTTTCCAAATAGGTTCGCGCGAGCTAATACGCTTATCCCAGTTTTCAAAACATTTCTCAAACGCTGAAGTGGTTACAGGCCTTCGGCTCCTTCCAAGAATTCTCGTTTACGACATCCATCGACTTAAAGCGGCTTCCTCGAAGCGGTAAATTTAATTTCACGAAATAGGAAACGGTCGCACGAGTCCATATCCGGTGAAACACGGTGCTTCGTTGACAAGGTTCGTCGAACTTCTGGTAAAAAAATTCTCGTACCAATATCGACGCGTGCGCGACGCGGCATTATCGTGCCATAAAATCGAAAAATCGTCGTAGCACACAAATCTGACCGCTTCTTCCGAACCCCCATCCTAGATAGACATTAACAACTTAATTAACCGTTTGAGTCCCAAGCAGCGCGATCGCGCTGTTCAGATCTCGCGTCACGATCAAACTTTAGTGACGCACGTGCATCGTATAGCTGCTCTTTTTCATTTTTTTTCTTTTTGTATCGTTTGTCAATCTCGATGAGCGTTATCGCGCCGCTTGCTTTTCTTCGCAATCAATTAAAACAAGCGCTATCACGCTGTTCGCCACTTTTCGACCGTGTTTTCTGAATAACCCCTGGGACTCAAACGGTTAATCAATGACACCGAAACTAGAAAGTGAAAATTTGCCGTAAAGGAAATATTGGCTCGGCTATTTTGTATTCAACAAATCCTAGTTACATTCGATTCGTTCGATATGTTACGATAAAAACGAATGTCAAAAACCTAGTGAAAAATTATCGTCACCCATACGTGACTCACGCGACACCGAACGTATTAATTTTCATTTCTATATTATTAGAACCTCTTTGCCTTGGATTAGGAACGCGATCAAACTTTAGTGACGCACGTACATCCCATAGTTGCTTTTTTTCATTTCTTTTTCTTTTTGTTTCGTTTGTCAATCTCGTCGAGCGCCATCGCGCCGCTTGCTTTTCTTCGCAATCAATTAAAACAAGCGCTATCACGCTGTTCGGCATTTTTCGACCGTGTTTTCTGAATAATCGCTGGGATTCGAACAGTTAATTAAGTTCGCTTCAAACGAGGCCGCGTCGTCGATGGAAAAAAAACGAGTCAATCTTTACACCATTTCAAATCGCAGGCGGTTCAATTTATCGACCGCCGGTTCGTCGATCACCATCGATCCATTCGACCAGCGGTCGTATTTCCGCGCGGCTTTTAGAACAATTTTGGATCGCGTTTGATCTTAATTAACGCGTCGCCGATGCCGGAGGCGTCGGCGAGCCGCGTTAATTAAAAACTCTGGGATCATTAGCGATCATACAAATTTCGGGAACAAAAAATAAAGGAAAATCCGTCGGATGATTTTCCGGATCTAATTAAAGGGATCCTCGGATAGCGATCCCAGCGCGTTTTAATTGCAAACAAGGAGACGCGGAGACGCGCGACGTCGTCGTCGTCGACGTTGTCGATAAGCTAACGTTTAACTTTTTCATTGACAGAGCCTCGGGATACTTGGCAGTATCCCCGCAGCCTGGCTAATCCTGACGTTGCTGGTGTTGCTGGTATACTTGGTAACGAGATGCTGCGACCGGAAGCCGCGCCCCAGGAGGTCGATAACCCTGCTGAAGTTTTCGCTGGCCATCCTGGCGTTGCTCTGCAGCGGTGCCGTTGCCGTCGGCCTCTATGGAAACGACGATGTTCACAATGGCTTGGTGCAGCTGGTCGCCGCCGCCAAGAACGTCGACGGGATCCTCATGGGTGTGCGCAACCAGGTTCGTACAGTCTCCGATCCGGTCCATCCTCCGCGGTCCCTAAAGAAACCGATCGATCTTCATCTTTCCCTTCGGCCTTTCACCTTTCGACTCTCGGCGTGGCTTTGGATTTCAGGATCTTCGGGCAAGCCCGCCGTAGAGTCAATGCGCGAGCTTTTATCGAAACACTTCGCCTGCCTGGAACCTATTAACCCCTTGGAAAGCCTGTGTTCGCAGGCTTCATTAAGCCTCCTGCTAGATCCCAAGATAATGCTTCATTTACTTCTGCTCGAGAAATTAGATTGCATCTGATTTCGCAGTGGCACATTTTGCAACGCGGACGAGAATTGAACATTTGAACAGTGCAGTAAATTCTCCGCAATTTTCTTTCAGCTCGTAAACAAAAATGAACAATTCTGGGAAGAGGAGAAACGATTGTTCGAGCCTCGTGGCTCGTTGTTATAGTTGCCGATTGTCGACAATTATGAAAACGAGGCGCGAGGATCGAATAATCGTATCTTCTCTTCTCAAATTGTCCATCTTCAAGCTGAAGGAAAATTAGGGAGAATTCACTGTGTCCAGAGATAGATAATTAGTGCATTTTCACCCTGAAGTGTAAGGATTTTTAACTTTTGTTTTAAGAAGCTGTGAAACCCTCCTTAAAACAATCTCCTAAGAATAAAATTGTAGGAAAAAATGATTCGGAGTTGTTTGTTAGAGAACGACAAGAGAAAATAGACTGCGGATCTTTGTGCACGGTAAAGAGTGGTTTACATCGATCGTAAAACGCAAAGAACCAAGTAGGAACTTAATAATATGTTTACCGAACTTTTGTATGTACCTATTTTTACTAAATTAATTTTACAATCACGAGAAGCGATTGTTTATAGTCAGAAAAACTAATTCAAAATATAAAAGGTGCTTAAAGATATCTTCGGTAAAAATAACGTTAATTTCTTTGTTGTTAATTTCAGAGAAGGAAATACAAGTTTATATTTATCTTATACCTGCATTAACCCTTTGCACTCCAAGCTATGTTAACTGTAAATTTAAATTAACTTTTTTTAACTGATGCTATTTCCATTTTAACGACAAAGTGCATTTTATACATATGAAATTGAATCTTCTGACTTATACAACAATTAGACTTCTAACAATTTTTTATATCTAAGCTTTGATATTATAAAAATTATCTTGGAACGTGATGTAATAATTTTTTAGCAGTGCCTCGGAGTCGCTTCAAAGTGTCCGAACTTCTTTTAGCTTACACCGGTATCAGAAAAGTTCTACCTTCGAAGAATTTGAACCAGAACAAAAAAAAAGTTCGAACGAAGTGCACCGTCGACGAAGAAAACGGCGGATATTTCCCTAGAACCGCGCCGCTCGGTTCTCGATACAGCAATATCGCGTGCAAAATGGCGGCGCCTCGCTACCCTCGTAAGCCCTTCAAATATCGAATTAATCTTTCGGCGGGGTCGATGCGGATAAGATCTTTAATTTAAAAAAAAAAATAGAATCTCGACGGGATCGCGGGAAATCGGATTACAATTTATCTGGCGTGCGCGGATATCTTCAGGACGGTCTTCTTTTCGGGCTTACCGGACTAGCACGGTTGTCCGCGAAGCTTCTCTGCCGCCATTCTTGACCCAAATTAACGAGAGCGCGCCTAGCTAAGGCACATTTAAACGCAGGAAAAAGTGGAGCGCAAACTAATTATGAGCTGGTTGCGGGTCTACTTTCCGTGATTAAAGTAGGGACGCGTACACGCCGGCGACGCCACCGCCACCCGAATAGACGAATACAGTAATTTCTCCCTAATTCGCGCTCGGATCGCGCGCAAGAAGGGACAATTTTGGAAGACGCCTCGCGTCTCGTTTTTATAGTTGTCGAAGAATAAAATGAGCCGTTTATTTTGAAAGTGGCATAAGTCACTTTACCGTAATGAAAAGTCGTGATTTTTTAATATTTACACGAAATTATTTATACTGAGAAAAATATCAGTATCCTGAGATAATAAATACAAGTAAATCTTCTCGAAAGTTAGCATCCATATTTTTAAACGGTGTTAAAACGCAAACCCTTAAATATATGGACTTAAAAACAAAGTGACTTATGCCACTTTCAAAATAAACGGCTCAAATAGTAAAAACAGTAGAATAAAATAATAAATATCAATAACCTCGACAATCGGTAATTTTAAAAACGAGTCGCAAGACGCGAATAATCGTATCTCCTCTTCCCAAATGATCGATTTCTGTGCACAATCTGAGCGCGAATTAGGGAGAATTTATTGTACACTGGAGCCGGCGAGCGGGAAATTGATGTGGGCAGGTGAACCACTCGGACGAACCTTTAGATGAACACACAGGTGACGCTAAGAATAATGCTCGGATGTTTCCGGCACTTGGAGAAAGTCCGAAAACAATCATAAATCCTCGCTAGGAACGATTAAAGAAAGAAAATTCGCCCGCAAACTTCTTACGTTTGGATTTCCCTTGTTTTCATCGCATGGACTCTTTACACCAGGGTTAGCCAAAACGTATCTATTCCTAGTCGCCCGCCTGTCTGATATTATCTATGTTTACTTTAAATTTAAACTTATTTTTGACTTTAAATTACTACTCTTCGTATGCTCACTTAATACATACGATGTTGGTAAACTGCCGCCTATAATTAAAAAAAAAAAAGAACAGGTCGTCCGTAGTGATCAAAAGTTCGGCCACCCCTGCTCTACACCCTCCATGAACACCAAATACACAAACCACTGTTTTACTTATTGGGTTGACAACTAAGTAATTGCCGATTTGTTTAATGAAATAAAAAATTTTTTTTTACTTGGAATGAAGTGTAATCTGTAATGTATTTTCCATTTTGTTCGATGACCTTTTGCCATCTCTCTGACAACTTGAAAATTCCACGCTCGTAGAAAGTCTGATCCTTTTCGGCCAAAAACTGAGTTAAGTGAGATTTTACAGCGTCATCATCGTTAAAAGTTTTACCACGAAGGGAGTTGTCCAGGGTTCGAAATAAGTGGTAATCCGATGGCGCGAGATCAGGGCTATATGG